ACATTAGGAAATGACTAATGCTTCAGTGTCACACAGTCTGGCACTTGATCATGAAACATTCTTGAGCGTCTCAGCTGAAATTCTCCCTATCTAGTTTTGTTAAGGAATTTAACACATGCCAGTTAAACTGTCAGAAATGAAATAATCTAGCTTTATGCTGTGTTTTAACAGATTGTTCTATCAAAAAAAAGTAAATGTTTATAAAATAACATTTCTTTTTTTTTTTCTATCTTGAGACAGGGTCTTACTCTGTTGCCTAGGCTGGAATGCAGTGACGCCACCTTGGCGCACTACAATCTTGACATCCAGGCTCAAATCGTCTTCCCTCCTCACCCTTCCAAGTAGCTGGGACTACAGGTGTGTGTCACCATGCCTGGCTAATTTTTGTAAATTTTGTTTTGTTTTGTTTTGTAGAGATGTAGGGTTTTGCTATGTTGTCCAGGAGGGTCTCAGACTCCCGGGCTCAAGCTGTCTGCCTGCCTCGGCCTCCCAAAATACTTTTGTAAATGTAATAAAAGGAGGAAAACAAAGTCATAGAGACCTCTGATGATTCTCATTATTTGTCTTTGTAATAAGATATTTAAAAAAGAATGTGTGGCAAACAAAAGAAAATAACAATTCTGCTAAATAAATCTGCTCTCCCTGACCTCTGCCGGACTTTTGAACATGTGTGGGGATTTTCTGTAGTGTTCTCTTCCCCTATGCACACAGCTTAAAAAACGTGCTCCCGAATTTCTACCAGTCTTTCTTCTGGAAAACAATTTTAAATGACCTTAGGTTCAAGTTTTTATTCATTCTGAAAATACTTACTGAGCCTTACTGAGTGTTGGTTTCTGTGCTTCATGTAACGAGTTGACTAATATGTGTGGAATGTGGTCAGAAAGGCAAAAACATATTGATAGAGTTGAGAGTATGAAGAGAATAAGGTGGACCTCAAGCAGGGGATATTACTTGAGCAGGGCCTAGACGGGTGAGCAGAAGGTTGGTAGACAGAGAGCCTGGCTCATGCTGAATGACCTCGGCAGGGTTTGGGGGAATGGGCGGGTGTTAGGTACCTTTGAGGACCAGCAGGTTGTCTAATGTGGCCGAAAAACCATGAGCACAGTGATCCAGGAGGAGTCCCAAGTTGGTATGTTAAACCGAACTTTTAGCTTTTTTTTTTTTTGGGTAGTTGAGTAGTAGAGAGCCACTTAAGGTTTTGAAGCTGGAGAGTAACTCAGTAAGGTTGGAAATTAGGAATATTTGCCTTGGCTGCTTTGAGAGACACAAGGAGGAGACCAAAGTAGTAGTTCAAGTGAGAAGAAAGACATTTTCAGCCCAGGGAGATGGCAGGTAGGGAAGGGAATGAAAAAACAGCCCAATTTATGGAATTTGGCTGTGTGAGGGATAGTATACCAGAATGAGTCAAAGTTTATGTGCGTTTGTGTATCAACCGAAAATGTAATTGACTTTGTTGAGTCCAACATGCATCTGCAATTGAATATCTGGTAATGGAAAGAAGCTGATTTTGCAGGGTTCTGTGAGGGCACATGCAGCCTTCTCTGTCTCTGCATTCCCTGTTCCCCAGTTTCTGATACCATGCTCAATAAATGTTCATGGAAGGAATGAATTTGATGGATTTCGTTGTATGGCATAAGTGAGTTTACCATTGGGACAGAACCATCAGATGATTTAGGGAGCATCAAGCTAACCTGGATTAGAATCCTGACTTGGCAATTCCTAGCTCAGTGATCTCGAGCAAGTAACTGAATCTTTCGGTTTCCTCATCTGCAAGATGAAGGATAATGCTATCTCTTGGGATATATGATTATTCCTTATCTACTGAATGAATGAATGCACACACATAAAATATTTAACCTAGCATCTGGTATATATCTGAGATAAATGCTCCTCAGACATTGGCTGTTGTTACTTAGGGGGAGTGTGGATGTCAGCTTGTGATTGGCAGAAAAGTATTGATGAGTTGTAAGCAGAGGGTGGGAGGAGAGTAGTAGCCTGTGCATCCTTGAGGGCCTCAACCTGGAGTGGGAGAGGGAGTAGGAGTGAGGCAGTTTAGGGAAAGCTCCTACAGAAGAAGTGAGAGAAGGAATGGTAAAGGAGAAAGACCAGGTCAGCGATAACGGGAGGGGACCTGAAAAGTTCAATGTTAGCTGTCCCAGACAAGGAGAAGGAGTCAGGGTGGAAAGTACCAAATTAAGAGAGGTCAGGGAGGGTGAGAACTGAGACTGGGCACTGAGTTTGGCTATTCAGAAAGACCCCAACCAACTGTCAAAGGAGAAGTTGCAGGAGAGCAGAAGCTAGGTTACATGTGGTCAAGGAGAGCGTCAAGGGAAAAGGGAAGATTCTGTGGGCTAAGGAGGAGCTCATTGCCTCAGTAGAGGAAGGGACAAAAGGCCAGATTTCTAAAGTATATTCAAGACAGTATGACTTTTAAGTTTGCACTGGTACAAATATGTACAAGCCCACCACACTGTACAGTTTCTTGTTGTCCATGTGAACACTCTCTCTGAGATCTTCAGTGCTCAGTCTTCAAGGTCCTGGTGCAAAAGCATTAGAATGGTGGCATATATATTTATAAATGAATAAAGTGTAATATATAATGTAAACAATCAATTAATTGTAGTTAATACAATAAATGCAGTCGTGTGTTGCTTAATGCTTAATCAGTTAGATCATATGTGCTGATAAGGCCCAGGGGTCATATTCCAGTTCTTATCTCCTCCATCAGTTTCCTGCAGTGAAGCTGTTGATTGGAAGGGCAGCAGGCCAAGTAGGAGTGGGGCTCATCACCACGATGTCATCACTGATGCCCCAGTCAGTACTTAGTCCACACTTGGCTGGGTACAGCATGCCTCCTGAGGAGAAGTAAGGCCAGAGCATTTTCACAGAGTGGAAGGAATTCCTGGTCCTAGTGTGTCTGACTTTCTACCACATAACATAAGTTTTGATGCTAGAAAGCAACTTTGAGCCCTACTGAGAGAAAGAGGACACCAAGAAGAAACATTAGAGGAGCAAGATTAGAGAAACAAGATTTGACCTCTGCCCTTGAGCAGGGCTGCCAGGCTGTAGCCAGGTAACCTCCTTACCACCTACATGACCATGTGTGGCAGCCCTGACTCTCAGGACTGCACGTACACAGCACTGTATTCCTTGACATCTTTTTTCAAATTGTGTCCTTCCCCATTGCTTATTTGGTGAGCACTGTGTGTCATTAGATAATAGTCATTGTGCAAACATCATAGAGTGTACTTACACAAACCTGGAGGGGCTAGTCTAATACGCACTTAGGCTAAATGGTATATAGCCTATTGTTCCTAGGCGACAGACCTGTAAGCATGTTACTGTACTGAATATTTCAGGTGGGCCAGCAGTGTTATAAGTGCTTTCGTTGGTATTATCTCATTTAATCCTCCCAGCAACCCTCTGAGGCGTCGGTGGTATTATTCTCATTTTGTAGCTGAGGAGGGCTAGGTAACTTGCCAAGAGTCACACAGCTGGTAAGTGGTAGAGCCGGGACTGAATATACCAGGCGGTCCCGCTGCAGAGCCCATGCTGTATATTCTGCTGCTTACTTTACTTTGTGGCTGAATTGCTTAGGATTGCAAATGGCATTAGATATGATCTTTGATGAAACAGGAATATACTAAAGGGAGGAAAATTGAATATGAAGGAAAGGGCTGGTGATTGCTGGTGGAGCAGTGTTTCAGAGAGTAGGCAGGACTAGGACCAAGAGTGCAGGTAGAGGGTCACTAATGGAAAATCACCCCACTTGATTTTTAGGAGAGGAGGGAAGAGAGGGTTGGCAAAAATCGGGAGAAAAAAAGAGGTTAGGGATTTTGTAGGAGGGAGAGAAAGGTAGATAATATTAGAAGATACTTTGAGGTGGTGAGAGAGACCACCATCCATCATGAGAATTATCAAGTGGATTTTTGAAAATGGTCTCCACTAATAGTTTGATGAGTAGTCCTGTGGAGTAGAAGGCCTGCATGAGCTCATGTTAGGATGGGACAAGCATTGACCTTGACAGATTTCCAAAGCAGCCTTTGGTAAAGCTGTGAAGGTCACACCTTCCAAGGTGAGGGCTGGATTTTGGTTAGTTGCTGATTTGCTGCCCCAAGTGGAGTAGACATAGAAGGTTGAGGTAAGAGTCATGTTGTCTTTTTTCTTTGCTTGTGAAGATGTCCCAGGCTTACAGGACAAAGAGAAACAAAAAGCAGATGAAAGAATAAAGTCAATAGAGACATTTTGAATTTGAGGGGTGTTGAGCCATGAATGGCACATTCCTGAATTGCTCCCTAGTCAAACCTATTCAAGGCCTTGTAGAAATCAGATACATTGTGTAAAATAGTGCTTTTCAAACAATCTGTAGGGAAGAGCTCTTTTTGTTGTTAAGGTTGTCAACTGTTTCCATTTTATAAAATATTGTATGATAAATGAATTCAAAAATTGATTAAAAACAAAGACATAAAGAGTGCAAACCCAATTTGTTTCCTATTACGAGATTCAACAGGCACAAGATTGTTCTGTGAAATTGTTAGTTTCTAAGTGCCTGCTTTTAATTTCTGAAATTAGTTCTTCATGAACTCCTTACACACTCAGAAGGAACAGTGGACTTCACTTTGCCCAATACTGATGGAAAATTGAATGGCAGCTCCCTGATAAGACCCTGGCTTGTTTACAGAGTTCCCATTTCCTGAGCTCTTCCCAGAGTGCCTAGCTCAGTGCACAGCTCATTGTGGATACTCATCAAATAAATGCTGGTTAAATGATCCCTTTAGTAGATGAGTTTTGAATGCAGGATAAAATTAAATTAGTATGATAGCAAGTCTTTCAAAAAGAAGTTAATTAAAATGTATTCATATGTGGGTAGGCTGAACTAAAGCAAAGTGTGCTTTACCTTGTTTGGCAATTTTCAAAAACCTTAGTTCCCAGGATGCCACCATTTGTCCCTTGTGCTGTGTATGCACTAACCTCAGCCACAGTTCGTCTTTTGGTTTTAGATTGTGTCAGCAGCTAAGGTGTGTGGAGCTGCCAGTGAGTCACCATCAGTGAAGAGCCTCCTCTTGCTTATTGCTGATCAAGACTTTTCCTTTAAAGCTGGCCAGTGGTAAGTGGCTTTTCTGTGTCCCAAGTGTATATGTTCAAGAAGGTGCCATCAGATAGAAGGGATTATTTTTTATTCTGGAAAAGACTTCTCTGGCTAGCCATTCCCTTGAGGAAGAGGAATTCTAGATCCTGTCTGCTCAGGGTGAGCCTTTGTTGGCACAGAGGATCTGATTCCTTTCCTGGCCTTAGAGCCCTTGGGTTTTGAGCCTGTGGCTCCCTCAGTCATATATGAAAATGGCTATCTTGAGTTTTCCTCATTCAAACAAAGCAGCTAGTTCTGGTCCATGGAACTGACAGCTCTGATAATTACGCTCTTTGGGAACGGTTGCTAACAGAATGCACTTCAGTAATCTAATCTTGAGTTACGTGTTGCTTTTTAAAAATTAGTCTTCTTTGTATCCAATGCAGAGTGAACAAAGCATCCTGAAAAGAAGAGGAACTAGTGACGTCATCACAGGGCTCACTATCCTCTTGACTGAATTCTTGTATCATACCTAGGTTGAATTTAAAATACTTGGCTTAATTTCTTATCAGGATTCCCCAGTCAGACCCAGCTCCCCCTAACCCCCACACAAATCATAAGTCTATCCCATTTGACTTGGGACTGATCAGCATGCTGACCAGGTTAACAGCTCAGCTGCCTCCCTTTTTCTCCAAATGGGGTCTCACTGAGGTTCAATTCAAGTTCAGTTGTAAAGAAAGCAACTTGAATTTCCCGAGGAAAGGTGTGTTTGGGTGTGTGTGTCCTTTATTTAAATAAAGCATTCATTTCTAAATGAATTCCTGGCATGTCAGTCTTGATAGTGTTTCTTAGGAGTCACTTGACTAATTTTGGCAGCCCATCTGGAAATGTGGTTTTGTTAGAAGGAGGATGTGTGATAATAGCAAGTGTGATAATAGCAAGAGTTAGCAGTCTTGTGTGTTAATAGTTTGCCTTTGAATTTAGAACTAGAAAACAAGATGCTGATTGCAATAATTTGCGTTTGTGAAGCAATTTACTGCAGTCTTTGCACATGTTTGATGATACACATTAAATGCATTTTGCCTGTTTTAGGGGGTGGGCAACATATTTACCCTTCAAAAATGGTTTAGCAGTCATTATATTGAAAAGTGGAAACTTTAATTGTAATGATCTGTTCTTCCATATTTCCTTTCTGTGAAAGTGTTTGTGTCATGTGCACAGCACTGTCCCTGTGCCTTCAACTCTGAATCCTGCCAAGACTCAGACACAGCCTCCTGGTTAGGAAAAGCCTGTGCATTGGTTATTGTGCTGCCACCGTGGTGTGCCTGCAAGTGTAATGCACTCGTAAACTTCAGTTACCTGATTAGAAAATGTCCTCGTTCCCTAGTGACAGTTGTAGAAATAGCATCCTGTGATTCTCAAGATGAAATGATTTGGGGTTGGTGTTACGTATACCATCACAGTGAATGGATTTGGTCATTTCACTGAATTCAGGCCTGGGTTTAATAAGTGCCTGTCAGACTTCTTCTGAGGTCAGACTTGGTAGGTAAGGATCACTGACTGGTTAGTGGTGATGCTTTTCCTCCCAGTTGTTGATCAGCATTCATTTCAGGCCCCTGGGCCCTCCTCTTTCAACAGATTGCACCCTTACCGTTGATTTATGGTTCTAGGGGTTGGGAGTTCCTTTTTATATGTGACCTTATGGGTACAGAGTGGCCATTTTGTTTGGGTTGGTGCTGTCTGTCCCTTCCGTGCTGTTGCTAGCATGGCTTTGCGCTCTAGGCTCTCTTCAGGTCATCAGCTTAGTAGTAACTGCCATGTGGCACTTTGGAGAAGAGGGCAAGGATTAGGGAGAAGGAGTGAGGATGTGGCTGCCAGGCGGTTTGTGTAGTTAGGATTGTCTGACTGGAGAACTGTTAGAAATCAAGGAGAGGGTTGCTGTTGGGCTTATCTTTGGGATAAGAGATTGGGCCATGATTCCACATCTCTGATTTTTTGACTGGTGGTTTCCTCTGACACCTATCAAACTCTGAGAATGAGGTTCCAGGCCCAACTGTAACTAAATCAATGAATGTTGTCTGTGACTAGCTGGAGCTTTAGCCACAGATCCCCGTGTAGACACCTTCAGCATAGATCAGATATAGGCCTCAAGGGGCTCTTTTTGCACTACACTGTGTTCTTCCTGGGCCTTGCAGAGAGGACGGGTTCCCGTAGCAGGAAACCAGTTCCAAGAGCTCTAGCAATCCATTCCTGAGAGAAAGGCCAAAGGCGGAAGTCACCTCAAAACATTTCACACATGAGCAGGGCTAAACTTGGTTCATCTTACTAGTAGACCTACCACTTGCTAGCTCCTTAGTGAGTCCTGCCCTTCACAGAATTCCTCCTCCCTGGGGTTGGAAAGATTGGCACTTGCTCTTGGGTCTGGAGCATGCCACCACTAGTCCTCACACAGTGTGCAGCTGCCCTGAGTTTTTAGATTCACATTTGGCTGTGGCACTCGCTGCCTGCCTCCAACAATGGTTGTGCTACTGTGGGTAACCGTGTATTGTTGCCTAGTGCCCTGAAGACTGCTCAGCTCACATGCTTGCTTTCTACCAGCCAGCTCTTTGATGCGGGCAGTTCCCTTATTTGTCTGGGCTTCAGTTCTCATATCTTCAAAGAGAGAGCATTAGACTATGTTTTGGGATATTTAAAGTGTTTAGCATAATGTCTAATGTTAACTTTGAGTTTAGCTTTTGTTATTGCTAGTATTTCATTCAGTCAGTTAGATCCTATGTACTGATAAGGCCCAGGGGTCATATTCCAGTTCTTATCTCCTCCATCAGTTTCCTGCAGTAGGAGTGGGGCTCATCACCACGATGTCATCACTGATGCCCCAGTCAGTACTTAGTCCACACTTGGCTGGGTACAGCATGCCTCCTGAGGAGAAGTAAGGCCAGAGCATTTTCACAGAGTGGAAGGAATTCCTGGTCCTAGTGTGTCTGACTTTCTACCAGATAACATAAGTTTTGATGCTAGAAAGCAACTTTGAGCCCTACTGAGAGAAAGAGGACACCAAGAAGAAACATTAGAGGAGCAAGATTAGAGAAACAAGATTTGACCTCTGCCCTTGAGTAGGGCTGCCAGGCTGTAGCCAGGTAACCTCCTTACCACCTACATGACCATGTGTGGCAGCCCTGACTCTCAGAGGACTGCACGTACACAGCACTGTATTCCTTGACATCTTTTTTCAAACTGTGTCCTTCCCCATTGCTTATCTGGCGAGCATTGTGTGTCTTTTAAGACTGTTTAAAGGGAGTCTCTTCTGTGAAGTCTTTCTTAATTCCTCTACTCCTGGTAGAATCGATTCCTTCCTCTGCTATGCTAAGCAGATTTTATCATTGCCCATTTAATTGTATGTGTTTGTTAATTTTCCTTCTCTTAGACTGGATTCATTGCGGGCAGGAACTAAGACGTATGTGCATCTTTGTACCTCCAACAAGTACCACAGTGCCTGTATATGTTAGGCGGTGCTCTCTTTGGTGTTTGCATTAAGTGAGTGAGTGGGGGACTCTGAGAAACTGTAAGCAAGGACTAAAGGGTTCTGGGATCTTGTAGTATAGCTGCTGTCTGCTTGGCACTGGGCTCCCTTTGTGGGCAGGACCCAGCTGCCTGGTGTGTCGTAGTTGGATGTGGACATCCACTGCTTCACTGCATGCCTAGGCTCCCTCTGCATACACTCACTCATTGAGTATATAGTAAGAGCTGTAACTCATGGCTCCAAGAAGGCTCATCCTACAAAGGACATTTTTAAAGGTGTGTGTTTAAAGTTTAGTTCTTTCTTGAGCAGATGTTTATGAAATATGTATTGTGCATATTTTCTTAAATCCATTCAGATGTTTTTATATAACTTAAATTCTTCCTTTTTTTTTTTTTAAATGAAGGAGTCCTTTCTCCAAAGTTACTAGAGAAGAAAGAGGGTTCCCTTTCATTCAACTGAGAGAATGGTCTTCATCAGCATTGAGCAGCAGAGGGCACTGTAGTTCAGGAGATGAAGCAGCAAAAGTAGCTCATTAATGTATTTATTTTGTAAACATGGAAATAATGGAGATTTTATATACCTCCTCTATGACAACATATAGCAACTGTGTTAACAAATGCTAACGATAGTCTTTTAAATTTTTATCTTGTCTGAGGTGAAACGAAAGTTCAAGTATTCATGGAAAAAAGTCAAGTGAAAATAGGTTAACGTTGACTAAAGACCTTTTTGGGAGCACTTCCAATCCAGAACTAGTTTTTAAAGACCATAATAAATGACTGGAAATGTAAGGCCATAGATTGGAGGAGGATTTTTTTTTTAAGTTCATAGATCAAATCAGAGAACATCTTGTGCTTTTCTTTTAAGCCTATGTGTGAGTAAGCAACTGGGGAATGATGGTATTTTTTGTTTTGTAATGGCTGTGAAACACCTAGATTGGATGTTTATGTTTCCCAGGTATGGGGATGAGAATTTTTTGTAGTTTTATGTCCTAATAAATTTTTCTTGGTATGTGACCAGGTTTATTGCTAGAATCCTCACCAACAAAGGGTTTCTGTGGCATAGAATTATTGAAAGCTTGAAATCCAGGAGCTCTAGACGATAGGATGTGGTTAGAAGAAAAGAAGCAAACATGAGACTTGTGTAGCTCAGAGGCTGTATCAGCCCTATTAAGTTTGCCAAATGCTAGTGGGAGAGTTTTTGTTACTTTTCTTGCCCCTTTTTCATACTTTTTAAAACTTGAAAAAACTGTTAGATTGAGATATATTTATATAAAATTCAAACATTTAGAGGGTACAGTTCAGAGGTTTTAGTACATTAAGAGAGTTGTGCAGCCATCAGCACAGTCACATTTAGAACATTTTTATCATCTCAGAAAGAAACTCTGTAAGATTATTCATACCCCATCCTCCTGCCCAGCTTAGATGACCACTAATCTATTTTGTCTCTATGGATTCGTCTATTATGGACATTTTATATCAGTGGAATCATATAATACAGTGTGTGGTCTTTTTCTGACTGGCTTCTTTCACTTAACATGATTTCAGGGTTGTAGCCTCAACATACATCTATGTTGTAGCTTGTATCAGTACTTTCATTCCATTGTTTGGATATACCACATTGTGTTTATATCTTTATCAGCTGATGGACATTTAGATTGTTTTCCACTTTGGGGCCTTTGTGAATAATGCTGCCATGAACATTCACGTACAAGTTTTTGAGTGGACATATAATTTCACTTACCTTGGGTCTAAACCTGGGTGTGTAATTGTTGGGTCATAGGCTAACTCTGTTTAACATTTTCAGGTACTACCAAATAGTTTTCTAGAGGGGCTGTGCCAGTGTACATTCACACCAGCAGTGTGTAAGTGTTCCAGTTTCTCCAGAACTCACTCACACTATTATTTGTCTCTTTGATTATAAACATCCAGGTGGATTTGAAGTGGCAGCTCATTATGATTTTGACTTACATTGCCCTAATGACTGTTGATGTTGAACATCTCTTCATGTGCTCATTAACCATTTATATATCTTCTTTGAAGAAATGTTAATGAAGAGTGTTTTGCCCGTTTTTTATTTGGTTGTCTCTTTATTACTGAGTTATAAGAGTTCCTTTTGTAATCTGAATACAAGTACCTTAATATTAATAGATACATTATTTAAAAATATTTTTTCCCATTCTGTAGATTGTCTTCTAAGCTTTCTTTCTTTTTGTTTTTTTTTTTGAGACGGAGTCTCATTCTGTTGCCCAGGCTGGAGAGCAGTGGTGCATTTTCGGCTCACTGCTACTTCTGCCTCCCAGGTTCTAGTGATTCTCCCACCTCAGCCTCCCGAGTAGCTGGGACTACAGGTGCGCGTGCCATCATGCCCAGCTAAGTTTTGTATTTTTAGTAGAGTCGGGGTTTTACCATGTTGGCCAAACTGGTCTCAAACTCCTGACCTCAGGTGATCTGCCCATCTCGGCCTCCCAAAGTGCTGGGATTTGTACAGGCATGAGCCACTGCGCCCTTTATTGATGTTAACATTTGTAGCACAAAGTTTTTAATATTGATGAAATCTAGTTTCTCTGTTTTTTTTTCTCTGACCTTTTAGGTTTGAGATCATATCTAAGAAGCCATTTCCATGAAGTTTTACTCCTGTGTTTTCTTGTAAGAGTTTATAATTTTAGCTCTTACATTTAAGTCTCTGCTCCATTTTGACTTAATTTCTGTATATGTTGTGAGATAGGGGTCCAAATTCATTCTTTTGTATGTGGGTGTTCAGTTCTCTTAGTGCCACTGTTGAGTAGACTGTTCTTTTGCCATTTAATTGGCTTGGCACCCTTGTTAAAAATCAATTCACTGTGAATTTAAGGCTTTATTTCTGGACATTCCATTCTTTTCCATTGATCTACATCAGTGTCTTCATTACTGTAACTTTCTAGTAACTTTTGAAATCAGGCGTTAGTCCTGCAAATGTATACTTCTTTTTCAGGATTGTTTTAATGATTCTGGGTTCCTCAAATTTCCATAAAATTTTATGATCCACTTGTCAGTTTCTACAGTGAAACCACCTGTAGTTTTAGTAGGTATTGCATTGACTCTGTGGATTAATTTGAGGAGTATTGTCCTCTTAGCAATATTAAGTCTTCTATGTCATGAACATGGGATCTGCTTCTATTTACTTAAGATCTTCAATTTTTTTTTCCAGTGGTGTTTTCTAGTTTTTGTTGTGTAAGTCTTACACTTATTTTGTTGAATTTATTCCCAATTATTTTATTCTTTTTTATGCTATTGTATGTGTAATTGGTTTTCTAAATTTCATATTTGGATTGTTCATTGCTAGTGTATAGAAATACAGTTGATTTTTGTCTGTTGATCTTGTATCCTGAAAACATATTAGAAATTATTAGTTCTAATATCTTTTTAGTATTTTTTGTTTTGTGATGGCTGTCATATATACTTTAGTATTTTTTATATATGTTATTTTAGTATTTTTAGTATTTTTTAGTATTTTTTGTTTTGTGATGGCTGTCATATATACTTAGTATTTTTTATATATGACAGCATACCATCTGCAGCTCTACCTCTGCAATCTGAATGCCTTTTATTTTATTTCTTGTTTACTTATCTTGGCTAGAGCCTTTAGTACAATGTTAAGTTGGAGTGGTAAAAGTAGACATCCTTGTCTTATTTATCTTGGAGGTAAACTTTCAGCCTTTCACCATTAAGTAGGATGTTAGCTGTGGGTCTTTTGTAGATGCCCTTTATCAGGTTGAGAAAGTTCCCAATTATTCACAATCTGTTATTTTTGTTAGGAAAAGTGTCAGCTTTTGTCATCTTTTCTTCCTCTATTGAGATAATCATGTTGGTTTTGTCATTTAGTCTGCTGAATGGTGTATTGTATTGATTTATTTTCCGATATTAAACCAATCCTGTATTCCTGGAATTTTTCTATCTATATTCAGAAGGGATATTGGTCTGTAGTTTTCTGTCGATGTCTTTGTCTGGCTTTGGTATGAGGGTAATACTGCTGGCCTCATAAAATTAGTTGGGAATTGTTCTCTTCTGTTTTTGGAAGATATTTTGAAAGATTGGTATTAATTTTTAGTTCTTACCAGGATGTCATTTGGACCTGAGCCTGCCTTTTGTTTGTTTGTTTGTTATGTTTTTGAGATGGGGTTTTGCTCTTGTTGACCAGGCTGGAGTGCAGTGGCACAATCTCAGCTCACTGCAACTTCTGCCTCCTGGGTTCAAGTGATTCTCCTGCCTCAGCCTCCCACATAACTGGGATTACAGGCATGCACCCCCATACTTGGCTAATTTTTTTTTTTTTTTTTAGTAGAGATGGGGTTTCGCCATGTTGGTCAGGCTGGTCTTGAACTCCTGATCTCAGATGATCCACCTACCTTGGCCTCCCAAAGTGCTGGGACAGGCATGATCCACCACACCTGGCCTGGACCTGAGCTTTTCTTTGTGGGAGGTTTTAAAATTAACTCAGTCCTTTAACTTGTTATGAGTACGCTAAGATTTTCTTTCTTCTTAAGTCAGATTTGGTAGTTTATGTCATTTTAAGAATGTTTGCATTTCATGTAAGTTAGCTTATTTTTTTGGCATATAGTTGTTCATGGAATTCTTTTATAATTTTTCTTTCTGTAAGCTTTTTGATGATGTCTCCTCTTTTATTCTTGATTTTAGTAATTTTTCTTTTTTTCATAGTCTAGCAAAGGTTTGCTAATTTTGTTTAACTTACCAATTTTTAAAATTGCTTAAGCAATAATTATTTATTTGGTTTTTCCTTTTAGGGTTGATTTCTTTATTCCAGGAGTCTCTGTGGTTGGTGGGTTTTCAATATGCTCCAGTCCCAGACTGCTAGAACAAGAGAGAATGATAGAATTGGCAGTGAAATATACGAACCACCCTCCTGCCCTCTGGGTTCACAATAAGGTAAGCAAACTGCCTGTTTAAACTGGATGATCTGGGAAATCTCTGGCACCCACAAAATTTGTGTTAAGGTCACTCGATTCACCTAGGTAACCTGGGCTTGAGTAAAAGGATACATGCCCACAAAGAGCGTCTAAGAAACGTGCATTAAGTATGAGCCAGAGGCTTTGGGATCTGGAAATATTTTGTGGGTCACCAAACAGTTTAATACTGCTTTAGAATTAAAATATTTTATATTTTATGCAAGTTATAAAAAATTGGCTCTCTGTGTCATGTAAATGGTAAATCTATAAATCAGATTATTTGGTCCTAACCATCCTAAATAAAGGGAATTAAATTATTATTCTGTCATTTGGAGGGGAGACTGTCTGATTACATAGTACTGCTTCTTCCCAGAGATGAGCACAGCTAAATCCACGGTGCCATTGCCTCTCCATTTCAGTCTCTGGAAAGCTCTTCACTTGGGATTCTGAGAGAGAATCCAATTTGACTGCTGTTAATAACTCATACTTCACCACGGGGCTTAATACAATCCTACAGAAGCTGCCTGTCATTACCTACTAGAACTCTGGTAACAAAGCATGCGCTCAGAACAGATCAGTTACTTGTTGTCTTCGTTTTTGACCCTTCTATCCTTGTCACTTTTTGCCTTTTCTATCCTTTTCCTTTTCCTTTTGCTTCCACTTCATTACTAGAATGTCTTCTATATTTACCAACAACCTCTATCCCATCCCAGGCATTTTCTTACCTTCTTTACCAAACACACATACCAGTACAAATATGGCTTCAAAAGCAGCATTTTCCTGTTTCCTGGAAATCATTGGGAATCAACAAAGGAAAAAGAAAACAAAAACTATTTTCAGCAACACACTCTAGTATATTTTTAAAGGTTGCAGAAAATCATTGTGTTTTGGAAACACACTCTAGTATATTTTTAAAGGTTGCAGAAAATCATTGTGTTTATGTAGGAGCCACATGAAAATAAGTAGAGGAGACAGGCCAAGAGGAGCAGATCTCCTAGAGCACCAACAAAAATACATGAGGGAGTGGGGTGGGACTTAAAGCTATTGTCTGCAAAAGGGTATGTAGAAACAGAGTTGAGTTTTGTGGCTGCAGAAGTTCCACCCGGACGCAGCAAGGTTCAGTTAGGAGGGAAGGCACATGAAAAATGACACAGACCATGTTTATAGGAACTAATATGTCCTGTAGTGGCTGAAGAGAACTTTTACATTGGAAAAACCAGCTAGCTTAGAGGATACTCTCTGGCCCGTCCCCCAATATAGAACCCTCTTACAAATAGTTGGTCCAAAAAAAAAAGCACAGTTCATTTTAGTCTCATGAAAGAAATCAAAGAAGACATAAGTAAATAGATATACTGTGTTCATAGATTGGAAAACTCAACACAGTACAGAAGTCAGTTCTCCTTAAATTTATATATAGATGTAACATAACACTAATAAAAATCTCAACAGGATTCCTTTTATAAATATGGACAAAGTGATTTTAAAATTTATATGGAACAAAAAAGGACCTAGGATAGCTAAAACAATTTTGGAAAAGAAGAATAAAGTGAGAAGAATCACATTAGTCAACTTTAAACTGCAGCATTCAAAACAGTATGGTATTGGTGAAAGGAGAAACACATCAAATAATATAACAGAATAAAGAGTTCAGACATAGAATGACACCTATACAGTCATTTTATTTTTGACGGAGTTGCTAGATTCATTGGAAAAATTGAACGGCGAAAGGATAGTCTTTTCAACAAATAGTTCTGGAACAATTTTGCATCTATATGCAAAAAACAGAAAGCCTTCAACCTAAACCTCATACTTTATATTCAGAATTAACTCACAATGGGTTGTAGATCTAAATATAAAACATGGTACTGTAAAAGTTCTAGAAGAAAACAGGAGATATTTGGAACTTGAGAGTAGGTAAAAAGTTCTTAAACACAGTGCCACAAGCAAGATCCATCAGAGAAAAGGTTGACGATAGGACATGGTCAGAATTAAAACTCTACAAAAGACATTTAACACAACTGAAAAACAAGCTATAGACTGGGAGAAAATATTTACAAATAAAATATCTAACACAGGACTTGAATCTAGAATATATAAAAAGATCTAAACAGTCAACAAAACACAAGTAACATGGTTTTTTTTAATGGGCAAAGGATTGAATAGACACTTCACTAAAAAAGGATATCCTTATTTTCATTGCAAATAAGCAATGAAAAGGTGTTCAGACATCATTAACCTTGAAGGAAATGTAAATTAAAACCTTATGTGGTGGAATACCACTACAGCCCTAGTCCAGTGTCTAAAATTAAAAATACTGACAATTCTAAGCATTGATAAGGACGTGGAGCAACTGGAACTCTCATATATTGCTTATATTGCTAGTGGGAATGCACAATAGTACAGCCAATCTGAAAAGCTTATTAGCAGTTTTGTATAAAGTTAAACATACATTTACATATGACCCAGCACTACCACTTCTGAGTGCCTTAGAGAAATGAAGGCTATGCTCACATAAAAGCATAACATGAATATTTGTAGCAGTTCTCATAATTATTAAAAACCATTAGAAACAACCCAGATGTCCCTCAGCAGGTGAATGGATAACCTGTGATACATTCATACAAGGGACTGCTATTAAAGGGATGAATTATTGATGCACACAGTCTTGTGGGCAAATCTCAGAGGCATTCTGTTGAGTACAAGAAGACAATCCCAAAAGGTTACATACAGTATAATCCCATTTTTTTCACATTCTGGAAGACAAAGATATAAGATAGGAAACAAATCAGTGGTTGACTGGGGTTGGTGTGACTGGAAAGGCAGGAGCATAAAGGGATAGCACAGGGGAATATTTTCAGGGGGTGATGGAACTAGTATGTGTTTTGATTTTGATGGTTGTTACCCAGATCTATATGTGTGTTAAAATTCATAGAACCATATACCAAAAGAAAAAGATGTCTGTTAAGGGGATTTTAAAAATAATTTTTAAAAAATCTGCAGGAGCAACAAAGTGTATTCTTGTGGTTTACACGTCAAGTTGTGTCTGTTCAGGATAACCCCCAGATGCCGGTGTGGGCATTTCCGTCGTAAATGTATGCTGTCACATTTTTACCCTGCAGCCTCCTGAGTCTCTCTTTCAGTGTGGCCTCAGCTGCCTCATTCCTTTTTGGATTCTCTGTGGATTTTCCACTCATTAATGTCTCTAGGCTGCTCCTAGAGGTGCTAAAATACATTGCTGGGGTGAGATCAACAAGGTGTCCACATGCCCCTTGCTCAGAGTTGAAATAAGCATAGCCATCCCAGCTCCTAGTGCCATGAACATCTCCCCATCCTCCTTATTATCCTTAGCCTCCCATGCGACCTGGCCTGGTCCGGGTCCACAGTGTCCTGCTTGGTTTCATGCCTCATTGGCATTTCAGTGAAGGAACTTATTCTTACAGGCTGTAGAAAATCTCAAAGTGGTGTTGCCTGAATGCACATCCTAATTGTAGTGCCTGCTCTAGTCTGCCCAGTGGGAGTTGCAAACGGCCTTTATGAAGTCAGATTTTTCTTGGACCCATTTTCAGGTGGCTCTTTTCCTCCTGAGGATTTGTCTTATTAAGCCATCAGAGTGGACAGTGGAGGCACGTGAATGTCTAGGTGGCAGCAGGCTGCACCATTGAGACAGGGAATAAAGTGCCATAAATGTTTCCTTTTTTAAAAATCTGCTTTGGCTCAAGCTCTTGGCAGAGTAAAGGGTTCTAGACAGCTATTGTGTGCTCAGCTCCAGTTGCTGTGGAAAGGTTGTTTATTTCACAAGTAGAAAATCTATACCAAAATTAGATACATTGCTGTGTAATTGAAGGTAATGTCGTTTTACTCACTTACATATTATAGTATACAGTACATTGAGTCTTGTGTTCATGTTACCCTGGCAGTTTTTATTGATCAAAAAGACAAAGGTGGCTTTTGATTCTTTCCAGATGCTAGCAAATTGGAAGATAAACCTACTGCAGATTATTTTGTCATTAAGAATAAGACAGGCTTCTTGAGTATTATCTTTCCCTGGGGCACATTTTCTTGCCAACTTTAGAGTTGAAAATACTCCGTTTTCTAAAAACAATAACTTAGAGGCTTTCTTTTGTTGTCATTACTAAGCATGCCAAAGATGGTCATTGAAGAAAATTATTTCAGTCCCTTTCACTCTGATTCTTATAGATAAAGAGAGAACTGCACAGGCAAGCAAGAGAGGGAGGAAAGGAGGATATAGGAGATGAAATTCATTGTCATCATTAGGCAGAGCCTCCTGTATCTTAAATTCTATTTTTGAGACTTGAAAGAATATTTTAAAGCACCGTGGTAGCCACTGTAGCAGTTCCTAGATTTTAGTTATTCCTAACTGAATGCTCCCTTGCTGCTAATTTCTTTTGTCAAAATGAAAACCCACTTATCACCATTCATGTAAAAATCTCCTGCATATTTAAAGTAGTTAGGTTCAGACATTTTTTTCCCCTGAGAGAAAGGGTGTCCATTCATTTAACAGTTCTTTACCAAAAAGGACATTTTGTGAATTCAAATAATTTTCATTTTTTAAGATATTCTCTAAGTTTAACTGATCTTTAAATTGTAGAGCCCATATTAAATTCTTGTCCAAAAGTACTTACTGCTCACCTGCCATGCAAGGTGCCATGGTGTGAAAGCTAAGGCTTTGGTTCTCAAAAGCATGCGATATGTTATTACTTCTTCGGAGGGCATTCATTTAGTTGATTTATGCTAGGAACATGTAATGGGAGAAACCTATGCTCTTAATATAAGTTTCTTTATTCCTGGAATCTGTTTTTTAGTGACAGGGAAGAATGAAGCTGCCATCGCCAGCACTTTTTCTTTTGTGACAGCTGCAATGTCCAAAATACCTTCTTATATAGAGCCAGATACTAGTGAGCTTCTCCCCATTGTGAGTCAGTTGATGTTCACACCAACCCTGTGAGGTGGGGTGTGCTTATACCTATTTTCTAGGGGTGGCAGCAGAGGCTCAGAGAACATAAAGGATTTACTGGATTTCATAGGGGCCATGATTAAAATTCAGTCTTGGCCGGGCGCGGTGTCTCAAGCCTGTAATTCCAGCACTTTGGGAGGCCGAGGTGGGTGGATCACGAGGTCAAGAGATCGAGACCATCTGATCAACATGGTGAAACCCCGTCTCTACTAAAATATAAAAAAATTAGCTGGGCATGGTGGCGCGTGCCTGTAATCCCAGCTACTTGGGAGGCTGAGGAAGGAGAATTGCCTGAACCCAGGAGTCAGAGGTTGCGGTGAGCCGAGATCGTGCATCGCACTCCAGCCAGGGTAACAAGAGCAAAACTCTGTCTCAAAAAAAAAAAAAAAAAGTTCAGTCTTTTGACTCCTGGATCAGTGTTTTTTTTTTTTTTTCTTTCCCAAACAAGGGGTTACCAACTTTGTGAGATCCAATGCCCTTTCTAGAACTGTCCTGAAATTTAAAAAAAAAGTCCTAGTTAATGTAATGTACCCATAGATTTTTTTAAATAACATAATTCTCTAACTGTAATACAAAGGAGAAGTACAAGAAAGTGATTCATAAAGAATACTAACATGTAAATGTCTAGGCAGATCTAACTGGAAAACAGAATGAAGTAGTTGAATGGCTGTTCCTGAGCATAGGATCACCATGAATACACTGTCTACAGATGTAGTGAGAAAGGTGTGTTGTGTGGGCGACACATGTCACTGGAATGTGGTTTTCCAGAACAGTGAATATGCTTGGTAACATTCTGAACACAACAAAGTGCAATTTACATTGTGTTTATTTGTAAAAATGAGTTAGGGTCTAGTTTCAGATCATTGTAAACCAGTTTTCACCTGTAAGAATGTCTTTTGGGTCATTCAGGAGTCATTGTACAGGACAGTCTTATGCATTGTAGATAATGGTGTGCTGACAAACCAGCTATCTAAACTTAAAAAGCCCTGAGTTGTATCATTTGCTGATTTCTGTATTGTAAATACTCCCACAATAGCTGATTTCAAACTACCAGTAGAAACTTTCTTACAAAATTCCCGTACATTTAACCACGAGCTTAGTAGGAGCCAGCTCTGGGAAACCACTAACTTTGTAGGATCTCTAGCATCTCTGACCCTGGCCTCTAAATGCCAGTTGGAGTCCCCAGATCATTGTGATGATAAAAAATGTCATCACAAGTTTTCCAAACACCTTCATCAGAAGCAGTAGCACCCCCACTGAGAAACAAGTACATTCAACTCTAATGGCATTATGGGCATAAGTGACCTCACCAAATAGTAGCTGCTTTATCTAGATAGATATATGTGATACTCCATAGTCTGAAGCCTCTGGCTGCCTGTTCTTGTTTCTCTAGGGAGAAGGGAACAACACGGAATGGTACTGCAGGGCTGGTCTAAGCCTGCAGAGCTGGTCTGGCTGTGTCCTACTGAGGCTCAAGAGGGAGCCCCAGTGCTCACATTTTTCAGCCTTGATGAACCTGGGCAGGCAGTATAGTGACATTTGCCACATCGTGTTTCTCTCAGCTTTGGTCAGAACACAGAAGCACGACTCAGATAAAGGAGACCCATACTTCAGAGCTGTCCCCTGCCTTTGAGTCCATTGCCTCTTTCCTCAATCCAGTTCATCACCTTAGAAGTTAACAAATGGTAAAATCAGTGAAGCACATCTCCTTTTCTCAATATTGGAATGGCTCTTCAGTATGGATTACGAAGGTGGATCAGCTTATGGCCTATAAAATGAGCAAGTGGAATCAATTCACAGGGCCTTGGGAAAATTGGGAGCAAGCTATAAAAATAATCCTAAATACTGATAATATAGGAGGTAGACCCAGTTTTATTAAAGTAGAACATTTGGTTTAAGACCTGCGCTACAAAAGGCTAAAGGATCTTTTCTTTCCTACCTTAGTGTACACTCGACTCTGAAGTGGCTGTGAGAGTGGGTGGAGAGTTCTTCTTTGACCCTCAGCCTGCGGAAGCCTCTAGAAACCTCGTGTTGATTGCAGGAGGAGTCGGAATTAACCCTCTGCTTTCCATCCTGCGGCATGCAGCAGATCTCCTCAGAGAGCAGGCAAACAAAGAACATGGATATGAGATAGGAACAATCAAACTATTCTACAGTGCAAAAAATATCAGTGAACTCCTGTTTAAGGTATAGGAGGAATAGCTTGCTATAAGCAGACTTGTGTATTAATTGTTCACAGAAGTTTTTTCTCTAGATTCTGTTTTCTCTGCAAAGGTTCAAACAAAAGGCTTGGCAACGTTTAATCATGCTCAAATGAGAACTAACCAACACACCTTTACCCAAGACAAGTAAAACTACCAGTTAAGTGACAGCAAAGGGTGGGTTTTGGTGGGATGGAATCTGGAGGTTAGATGAACAGAAAAGTCACAAGGGTCCTGAGATTCCAGTCAGGAGACCTGCAGTGGACTGATGTATCACAGGAGTAGGTAAGACTTACACAGTGTGGACCCAGCTGGGTAAATGAAACCCTCAGTTGCATCTGTTTAAACTAAGTGCATTTGATGGAGAAAGCTTTCACTGGGGATTGCTTTGCAGCTGCAGGAATGAACAAAAGAACAGAAACAGTTAAAAGACACAACTGTGGTCAGTGAAACTGCTGCTTAATTGCCAATGCTTGAGAAAAAGGAAAAAGAAAAAACTCCCGGAGAGTTGGTAATATGCTTGTTAGCATATTCAGATTTCAATTAAAGCCAAATAGCCCTCTGTAGTCTGAATGCTCTGGCCTGCTAGGCTGCAAACAATATCTCTCTAAGTAGAGAGCAGGAGTGGCAGACGTGTGCAGAATGGGAGTTGAGGTTCGGCATCAATGGTTGTGCACATCTGTTTTGATTTTTTAAAATTGTAGTGTGACCAAATATGTTTGACATTCCAGAAAAATATCCTTGATTTAGTAAATGAATTTCCTGAGAAGATTGCATGCAGTTTGTATGTTACAAAACAGACTACACAAATCAGTGCAGAACTCAAGCCATACATCACGGGTGAGTCCCCTAAAGATATTTTGACTATCTGTGCAATTATTTGATGGACACACCAGTTTGTTGAGCATAGATGCTTTATTGTTGGAAATTGCTGGCTGGGAATGTCACTATCTGGGGAATTGAGATGATTCATCATGGAAAAATAAAGAGATATTTAGTTGGATTTACTCATTATATGCATGTTTCCTATTACCTATGTTAAAAGTGTATTTTTCACACTTTTAAGACGCCTTTGCATCATTACTGTAGTATACCTACGAAGAATTTATATTCCAGATTTGGCTGAATTGATTCCATTTGCCATTAATGGTCATTTAAACAACTCATGATTTCCTCTGAAAGGATTTTTATATAACATTTACTTCCGTCGCTGTAGGCAGTTTTGTCTCTCTATCAAAGACAAGTAAGCTAGCTGGCCCTTTCTGCAGAGTGCATTACGATGAGCTTCACACTTTGCTTGCTTATGTTTAGGAAGCGTGGAGATACACCCTGCTTGGGTCTGGCCCCAGATGCCGACACGAGCCGTCCTGCGAATGGCTTAAGAAGAGCCTCACTGAGCTTGAGTTATAGCAAATAAACACTGTGGCTGAATTGTGGTTAGTCCTTCCTCATCTGCTAATACAACCATGTCTGGCTTAATTTGGTGTTTATTCTGTTTTTTTGGTAGAAGGAAGAATAACAGAGAAGGAGATAAGAGATCATATTTCCAAAGAGACTTTGTTCTATATTTGTGGCCCACCTCCAATGACAGACTTCTTCTCCAAGCAACTGGAAAACAACCATGTACCTAAAGAACACATTAACTTTGAGAAGTGGTGGTAGGAGGCAGATAAAGACAGAACATAAAGAGGTGAGATCTGCTCAGGAGATCTCCTGTTCTTTGTGGCATGATTCATTTTTTTTTTATTGCTGCGTGAGTTGTCTTATTTTTTAAGGCTATAAATGTAGTGACCAGCTGGATAATAATTAAGCCAGATGACCGACTTAAATGATAAACTTTTTGCAGAGACCTCACTGATAAAGCTATTTTTTACTATACTGATTTTCCTTTATTAACAATGATTTAATTGTCTCATGATAGGTCAATATAGATTTTTCTTTTGTCTTTAGGTAAGAAAGTGATATACACTTAGGTTTAATCATAGGAAAATGTGATTTTTCAGTGTAAAATGTGGGCTAGCTTTAAATTATTTGACAGCCATCTATATATCTTATGTTTAATAAAATCGTAATTTAAATACATTCTTAATAATTTTACTTTGAAAATTCTTTTTAGTGAATGCCTTTGTTTACTGTACCATGGCCTACAATCTTATTTGGACCATCAAAGTTAAGTTTGGACATGGAAAATGTTAGGAAAACTGCTTTAGGGAGTTAAATATCCAGGATATTTGCTTTTTTGTTAATGGATATCCTAAGTGTGTATCCTGGCTAATTGTTAGTTTCTTCTCAAATGCAACCCTTTCTGTCTTGGCTGTCTGCCTTAACGCTGTAGGAGGCAGCTTTTTGCTTGCGACAAAGGCATTGGTGATGTGTTCCATGTTGAATCTGCCTTCGGTGCTTGGGCTGGCTGGCTATGGAAATGTGCTTAGCATTGTTTAGGGGGTAGAGAGCTGTTTCTAAATCCTGGTTTTCTACTTTTTATTTCACTCATTTGTCAGAGTTGTTCTTGGCACCCGCAGGTCCTTAACACATATTTAGTGAATGACTGAAAGAAACCAACTAATGTTTTAACTCCTTGCTAAGCCTGAGATTGGGAGGCAGTTTCCCAGAGTGGATAGAAAGAATGGTGGAGGCTTATCCCAAAGCTGTTCTGATGAAACTGCTAGAAAGCAGATTGTAGTTCTTTGTTTAGATTTTTAAAAATCCAAAAGAAATCCTGACTGAAGCCAGGCCATTCCTTTTAGGACAAGTAGTCTTGGGCCCAAGGTTACCTGCATGGAGACCACAGGAGGGCGAAGGGAGCCTGGGAACGACGGGGGAGTGCTGGAAACCTAGGAGCTCCAGTTGAGATTCTGTTCTGGAGCTGGTAAGAGAAGACAGGTTAGCCTTTCTGAGTTTTGTTGTGGCAGGCCTCCCAGGGACTTCTGGGCTTTAACACATATAATTCATGGGACCTGAAGATGACTGCAGCTTCTGCCCAGTTTTGAGTTTTGTCAGGTTTTAAGCAGAGATCATTTGTTAACTATTTTGATCCCACATTTGAAAATTTGGGGAAGAAGGGAGCAGCCATTGACCTGATGGGAATGTCATAATCCATTCAAGGAAATGGTCCTCAGTATCTCAGAGGTGAAGGGAATATGTGAAGCTCTGGGCCACTACAAGGAGCCCTGACTTACTGATTGGCCCCAAAGTGCCCAGGCTGAGGACATAGGAGCATGATGAGATGCAGGGATGCGGGACTGTGAAGGGGCACTTCCACCAACTGGTGGAGGCAGTCTGTGGGGCAGGAGACCTAAAGGTATGGGAAAGTGCCTAACCCAGGCCTGTCTGCATCAAGAGTGGAGGTGCAAGGTGAGCATCTCAATGCTGCAGGGGATGAGAGGATAGGGAGGAGTTGCCCACTGCCTCGGTTCAACCAGCACCATGGCTAACTGTGTGCCTGCTGTTGTCAGAGAGCAAGGGTCACCTGTCCTGGAGATTCCAACTCTGCCTGCCACCCTGCTGCTGACTGAGTGTCGACAGAATTGCTAAGATGGGCCAGGTTGCCTTTGCCTGGAATGTTCATCCTTTCAGTGCCATCATTCTGGTGCTAAGTGTTGAACAGCATTTTCTGGTCTGGCCGACAGTGTCCTGGTCTTGCCTGTGGGATCTGTACAGATCTTCTTGGTACTTAAATTGAGCTAACTACAGCCAGAGTGCCTTGGAATTCATAGTGTGGTGGCTTAGAGTATGGGCTGGAAAGCTCTTGAGCCAGATGCCTGGGTTCAAATCTCACCTATACTACTTACTAGGTAGATGACCTTGAGCAAGTCACTTAACTGCTCTTTGCCTCGTTTAAAATTACTTACAACTGCATGTAAAAGGGAGATGAAACTGCTACCTACCTATGTACCTACCTGATTGGGCTTTTACGGGGATTGAAGGTGATCATACATGGAAAGTGCTTAGCAGAACACTGCATGAGTGTGTCGTCATTATTAATTTGCTATTCCTTGTCTTATTCAGAAAGGATTTCAAGAGGCTGGATGCCTTAAATGTGGTCCACTAACTTGAAACCTTCATTTGGGCGTGCGCATCTGTTTTGTTTACTGCTGTGCCAGGCACAAAATAGATACTTCATAAATATTTGTTTTATGGGTGAAAGGGCCTGCTCAGAGTTGATGAGCTGGATTAAAGTGACTTCTTAAGGATCCTCTGGTTCTGTGAGTTTGAAATAATGTTTCTTCTTTTGACTTTCGACATGAGACCCTTTCACAGCCTACTGAAGAGACTAGGTTAGTCTGATATTTGTATCTTTCTCAAATTTTATTTTTTTATTTTTATTTTTTTCAAACATACGACGAAGTAGAGATAGTAAAATGACTTCTCCTGCATCCACCACCCAGCTTCCATGACTATCAGTATTCTCTTCTTTTTGTCAGCCCTCAGCTGCTTTGTGGTGGTGGTCTTGCTGGTGTGTTTTAAAGCAAAGCCTAGCAATTATATCGTGTCACCTGTAAATTCTTCGGTATTTATCTCTAACAGCTACATCACCTTAGCACAACCATAGCGTCATCATTATACCTAACACAAGTGACAGTGATTACTTAATATCATCTAAGACCCTTCTGTGTTGTGTTTCCTCATAACCTCAAAAGTCTGAATATTACATTTGGTTAATGTCTTTTAAGTTTATTTTAAACAATGGCACACTCCCTACACCCTCTATGCATATGTATGGACACTTTCTCCCCCATGATTCATTTGTTAAAAAAACTGACTCATTTGTTCTGTAGGCTTTCCCACATTTTGAACCTGGCCTACTGTATCCTCGGGGTATTGCTTGATTCGCTCTCCTCTGTGTTTCATGTAAACTAGCAATTAGATCTAGAACTCATTTATATTCAGATTCAAGATTGTTTTTGCAAGCCTATATTATAAAGTGATGTACATCCTACTGTATCATACTAGGCATATAATGTCTGTCCCACTTTTAATGCTGTTAAGATGGATCAGTGGTTTCAGCATTTGTCAGCCTGATCCATCCAATGTAAAGGTCTTCATCAAACTTTCACCTAATTGTTTTAGCAGCCGTTGATTGTTGCTGATAGCTATTTTTTCATTACGGATTAATTATTTATTTGTGTTATTCTTCCATATAGAACTTTCCTTCATCAGCTTTGATTCTCCTGAAATGAGTCTGTAAAGAAAAGGCAGGATCGATGCTTGATTTCTTTCCTTTTATTTATCAATTAGCAATACTATGAGTTGGTGCCTTAAAGTCTCATTCTGAATGCATGACTTTTTATACATTTGATTGTTTTCATCCATTGCAGTCATTTTTTTTTTTTTTTTTTTTTTATGTTCAGCTTGTTTTAGGTCACCCCGGCTGTGTCACAGTGGTTCACATTAAGTCATGATGGTTGATGAGGTTTGGAGCTCTTAATAGGTGCAAAAAGTGCTCTAATAGAGTGTGGTGTTAAGAAGCCTCATGAAGAAAGTGTTTCATAGAGGATGGATCGGCTAGCTGTGTCATGCTGCTGATAGGACAGGAAAGATGAGTTCTGATGAGAGATCATTGAGTAGCCATTGATTTGGCAACTGGATGGTCATTGGTGATCTTTATAAGATGGATGGTGGGAGAGAAAACATTGAAGTAGGTTTAGAAGCAATTCAGAGGAAAATTAAAATGGATATACGTAATAAAGATTTACTATAAAGAGAAGAAAAAGATGGAATGGTAGCTGAAAAGTGAAGTAGGGTCGAGAACATTTATTGAGCTCATGGAGTTGTTTTATTTTTTAAACTTTTGTTTCGAAATAATTTTAGATTTACAGAAGAGTTGCAAAGACAGGGTTCCTCTGTATCCTTCATCCAGCTTCCCCAAATGTTTAATGCAACTATGGTGTATTTATCAAACCGGGAAATCAACAGTGCAGCTAAGTTGGTCCAGTACTATTAGCTAAAGCACAGTTTCCTTTTTTAATATGAGTGAAATAACAGCCTGATTGTATGAGAAACCATGACAGAGTCATTCAGTGGGACTCAGGGAAGTGATACCTTTTTCTAGAGGATGAGGTATTAACTGCCGTTTATTGAGCATATACTATGTGCAGTCACTGAGCTAGACATTGAAGATAGGAAAGTATAAGACAAAGGTTATCTTAGCAAGTTAAATACTTTGGGAAACCATTTTTTTTTTTTAAATGAGTCTAAGAGTGATAGAAGATATCTTCTGGAAATAACTGTTATACATTGAGAACATTTTAACAAAATTGAAAGTCTGAATGCTCTGGGGAAAATGTTTTTTTGCACCTATCACTGAAAGAGAAGCTATAGCAAATAGATGACTGGGTGAGTCAAAGGAGTGATGGATTCTAGGGACCCAGGGGTAGGGGAGTGGGAAAGGCTGCACCCATGCTCTGGAGACTCGGGAGGATTGTTATACTGGACTTAAAGCACACACACATGCGTGCATGCAATGATTGTCAAATGATCCAAGATCATGTCTCTCCTACTGAGAATTTTGTTTTCTTTCTGAATGGAAAATAGCAATTTCTTTCATTCCTGGTTATTGCAGATGATCTGATAATTTAACCTGAGAGCCATTATTATTTCATTTCATAACCCAAAAGAAGTATATTGTACTCAGAGAAAACAGTAAGATGTCTGGTTTTTAATATTACTCTTTCTTAACATACAATAAGCTATCAGTTTGGTGATGACATGTAGATATCTCCTAACCTGCTATAAAATCAAGGCATGTATTTTAAAATGTTTTCTGCTCAGGAATCCAAACTTTTATAGTTGTTGAGCAGCCATCTTGATCTGGTCTGTTTTGAATTCGTAAAACCTGCAGGAGCACATCAGCCTAAACTGGCCCCTTCCAGCTCATCCCCATGTTCCATTTTGCTATATTTGAGCATAACAAGATTTTCTCTCTTCCTTTTTTTAAAATTAATTACCTAACAAATATGACCACAAATATTAAAGTATATAGATTAAAATGCTGAAGTTCTTTCTTCCCCATCCATTTCCTCGCCTAGAAGGAACCTCTGTATAAAGAACTTGCTGGGTATCCTTGTAGACATTTTATGGTATATTAACCTTGTATACATATACAACTGTGTGTACTTAAAGATCTCATTCTTTTACCACACTTCAGATTCTTGGTATATACCATATTATACTTAACCATTTCTCCGTGATGGACATTAGATTGTTTGCAGTTTTTGACTATTATAAGCAATATAGCAGTACACTTGTTTGTATAATTTTTTGCACATATTTTTGTAAAACTGCTAGAAGTGCCATTTCTGAATAAAAAATTGACTAGTATTGCCAAGTTACCGTATAAAATGCTTGATCAGTTTATGGTCTAATAGGGTATGAAAGTGCCCATTTCTGGCCAACATCAGATAGTCTCAGTCTTTAGGTATTTTTTCCCCCAATCAGTAAGATGAAAGGTGACTTTTAAAAAATAATTTTCTGATTGTTCCATACCATTTTTTTCCTAAGGTATTTTAGCCATCCTCATTTCTGTTTTTCTGAATGGTATATTACTGTTTTATATCCATTTTGATGTCTTACTGATTTATAACCCTAAAATTGGAACAATACAGAGATGATTATCATGGCCCCAGCACAAGGATGGCATGCAAATTCATGAAGCATTTCATATTTAAAAAAAAAATAGAATGAGTGCTAATCCTTTGTTATGTATATTACATATATATATATATATATATATATATATTTCCAGTCTGTTACCAGTTCCTTAATTGTTTGTTGTAACTTATACCAGTTTCAAAGTTATGTGTAATCATATACACATAACTTTGGGGCTGGGCGCGGTGGCTCACGCCTGTAATCCCAGCACTTTGGGAGGCTGAGGCGGGTGGATCATGAGGTCAAAAGATCGAGACCATCCTGGTCAACATGGTGAAACCCCGTCTCTACTAAAAATACAAAAAAAATAGCTGGGCACAGTGGCACATGCCTGTAATCCCAGCTACTCAGGAGGCTGAGGCAGGAGAATTGCCTGAACCCAGGAGGTGGAGGTTGCGGTGAGCCGAGATCGCACCATTGCACTCCAGCCTGGGTAATGAGCGAAACTCCGTCTCAAAAAAAAAACCAAAAAAACAAAAAAACTTTGGTTATGTGTATATGATTTGGTCTTTTCCTTTGGATTTTCTTCTGATGCTTCTATAGAGTAAAACTCCAAAAATCCTGTCTGCCTTAGAGACTATAGGAGCCCAGAGAGAAGAAACAAAAAATGAGGCAGATTGGTTGGCTGTGTGGTGTGGGTGGGAGGAACATGGCACCAGACTTCAAGAGACCTAAATCATGCCCATTCTACAAGTTGCTGCCTGTGGGACTCATTTTACCTCTCTCTGTATGCTGCTTTTCTGATCTGTTGCTGTGGATAGGACTATGCAATTTAAAATTCCTTTCAGCTTTACCGTTCTATAATTTCATGATAGGAAAATGGGCCTTAGAGATTTAGGTTGACTGTACTGAGAGATGTCTAAGAAGTATCTTAACTGTCTGCAAATATTTGATTGATTCTTGAAATGATGGTTGTTTGTATCTCTGGGATTGATAGAAGATGACACTGTCTTGGACTGAAGCCAAGAGAGAAGTTTGGTTTGATACAGAGGGCTTTTAGACTATACTGCTGATTAAATTCTGGAGTTAGGGCTCAAGAGAAATAGTGGAATTATCATTAGTAAGAAGTAAAACTGACATTTGCTCATTGGGGCTTAAGGTGCACTTGACTGAGACAGGGACTGGATTGATAGTTCACCAAGTTCATAAAAAGGAAGTGTTTTAGACAGTTATTAACTTAGCCATTTTATGGATCTAGAAACTGTTAAGTTTGCTACTTGTTCTTTCTCCTAAGGTGATTCTTTTTTTTTTTTTTCTATTGAAGAATCAGCAAGAAAGGAGGTACCCAGGACTGAAGGTTTGTGAACTCAGAGGTCTGTTACAGGAGGTATTTTCATGCTCACTCTGATAAGTGAAATATATTTCTTCCCATCTTTAAGCCTTTGTATTAACTATAGGTCACAGGAAAATCCAAATCCAAACTGAACGTAATGACTAGTGAGCAACATAGTTAAATATACAAGTATAAGTTTTACTATGTTAAAGGATGCAAAACTTTTCTTTCACCAGTCAGCAACATGGGGTCATGTTTTTAAAACGGTCTTTGGATGAATGAATATTTTTACTCTTTCTTCAAGACCTGGTCCCTACAGTTGACAGCCAGGGTCGTTCTCCACCAATTCTTGGCTCAGCCCTTTACTGGAATTGCCAGCATTACTGTAAGGAATCATTAGGGGGCAGAACTGCCACTCTGCCCATCAGACCCAAGACAGTTCCCTTTGTACTCCCACATGTGTACGGTGGCACCCCCCCAACAGCTGCTGCTTTCTGTTGCCACACAACTCCCACCCTCCCAAAAAGAAAGATATAGTTCTTTGGGTTTTTTTTTTTTTTTTTTTTTTGCCTTGAGATGGAGTCTAGTTCTTTCACCCAGGCTGGAGTGCAGTGGAGTGATCTCTGCTCACTTCAACCTCTGCCTCCCGGGTTCAAGCAGTTCTCCTGCCTCAACCTCCCGAGTAGCTGGGATTACAGGCACCTGCCACCAGGCCCAGCTAATTTTTGTATACTTAGTAGAGACACGGTTTCACCATTTTGGCCAGGCTCTTGACCTCCTGATCCACTTGCCTCTGCCTCCTAGAGTGCTGGGATTACAGGTGTGAGCCACCGCGCCTGGCCTCTTTGGGTCTTAAGAAAGGTATAAAGAGTTCACTTTTAGTGACTTTGTCTGATGATTGCATCACTCAAGCTCTGAAAATGAATCCATGCAAGAGATTCTAGAAAAGTTCCAGGCTGTATCACTGGAGTATTTATGACTGAGGAAATGCCTTTGATAAGGACGGGGTTGGTAGCTTCAATACCTCCCTCACTCCCCAGTCATTTGCAAAATCCAGTCAGTTTTGCTCCTAAGTCACTCTCAAATTTGTACCTTTCTTTGCTAAGATGCAAGCCAGCAGCCCCCATCTGGACTAAAGTATTGGCCTCTGCACCCTCTCGGGGAACCCCTACATTTCCTCATTCAGCAGCCAGAAAAATGTTTTTAAAAATGCAAATCTTTTAAGCATTTCTCTGCTTAAAACTGATCAGTGGCCTCCTATTAACCCTTACAACAAGAACCAGAATCCTTACCATGGTTCACGAGGCCCTTCTGCGTTGCTGTCTTCTCAGCACCTAGCACAGTGTGTAGGAATTTTAAAATGTGTAGCTTTATAGCAAATTACTTGATCCCCCCCATGCCCACTTGAATGCACAGGTCTCTCCTGTAGCCTAGCTTCCTTTGCTAGAGGGAAATGCAATGGTTTTGCAAGGGCTGGGGAAGCAAGCACGAGCCAGTTGTCTGCAGCCAGGGTTCATTTTCTTAGTCTGGCCACTGCAATGATTGTTATCAACAGGAACCTGTGGTGAACATCACTTTGCTTCATTTTCGGGCAACAGCTACCTCAGAAACCCAGCCAAAGGCTTGTTGGGTCTTGTCCTTAGATCTCATGTCCACACACTTCCCTGTACTAAACTAAGAACCAGGTACAGGAAACCCAGGCTCTCCTGGGAAGCTGCATCAGTGGTTTTGGTGGGTCATACTGTAGGCAGAGTACTAAGTACCAGGGGCCCACCCCGCACTACTCACGCAGTTGGCCTCCAGCACTTCCAGTAGGGCTGTTGGAAACAGGACCTGTGGCAACGACTGGGAGTCAATGCTGAGCTGCTTCTGGCCACACACCTGGTCATCCTCAGCGTTCCCGCCTCTTGCCGCTCCTTTTAGGATTTGATCTTCAGTCCTAGGCTGTGAGCCTTAGCAGGACAGAGCCTGACTGTGTGCTCCCTGCAGCACAGTGCTCCTGTGCTGGCTAGGAGCTCAGCTAGAGTGGGTTGCATGAGTCATGAGTTTTGGGTCAACGTATTCCTACTAATAAGCACTGCTTACACCTGAGAGCTATTTCTGAAAGATTTTTGTGATTTAGAGAGGGCCATGATGAATATGTTAAGAGTACCGATAAAATATGCTTCATAAGAAATAAATTAGAATGCCTCTTGCTAATGTTTTTGGAAGCTGCTCTCAAGCATCAGCAACGCCAGTAAAGCATTGTCAATCTGGAGATCTGAAAATTCAGACAGGCATTTGACTAATGTTTACTTTTTTGTAACTTATAAACTGCTGATAAATAATTTTTAAAACTTTATAAATATTATTACAATATTTCTGTTAAGATGGGATATACTACGCTTTAGTAACCAATAAATCTCAGAATCTCACTGGCTCACCCTAGCAGAGGTTTCTTTCATGCCCATGTCAAGATCCATCTTTTCTTTTTTTGAGACAGGATCTTGTTCTCTTGTCCAGGCTGGAGTACAGTGGTGTGACTAGAGCTCACTGCAGCCTCAACCTCTTGGGTTCAAGTAATTCTCTCACCTTAGCCTCCCAAGTAGCTGGTACATGTACCACCACACCCACCTGGTTTTATTTTTTGTAGAGAAAGTTCTTGCTATGTTGCCCAGGCTGGTCTTGAACTCCTGAGCTCAAGCGATCCTCCTGCCTTGGCTTCCCAAACTGCTGGGACTATAGGCATCAGCCACCACACCTAGTCTCATGGTCCATCTTGAACTATGCCAGGGGTGTTGGAGATGAAGGGCTGCGAGTCCCTGAAGCTTTCATCATACCTGCTTCTGTCTCATTGCCAGAACCAGTCTCGTGGCCCAAAACTATAAGAGGGGCTAGCGAGTAGAGGATATTGGGTGAGCACAGACAGTCTCTACCACATTGATTACCTATCAGCATTAAGATTAACTGCTACCCACAGAATGCTTACTGTGGACCAAGCACTTTATTCACATCTTATTAATCTTTACAAAAATCCAAAGAGGTGAGTGCCATTTCACACTTGAGGAGATTGATGCTCAGAGCTGTGAAGAAATTAACTTGAGGTTACACATGTAGACTATGTCTAGTTAGCATCCTCACCAGCTGTCTGTTCCAAAGCTCAGCTGGGTTTTTCCACTATACCAAGCCCAAAACAGTGTTACTACTTCATCAACAAAGGTTTCCTTAGCCTTACTGTATGTCAGTATTTTGACCTTGTAACTGTATGCACTTGAGAGCAATGCACCTGTATTTCTTTAAGCAGATTTGATAAGAATTCTTCTCCTTCCCCTCATTGCCCTGCCAGTGGTGCGAAACTTCACCCACTACCCTCTCCTGAGCTTTTGGAGGTGAAGAGGTTGAAAACAGCTTCCTAGTGAAAGAATCTGGATTCAGCCACAGCATCAGAGGACTGTCTCAGTTCAATCACCTGATTACTACTTGATCACAATGGGTTGGAAGGACTCCCTTGCAAACCCACTGTGATAGCTGCAGCCTCACAGACTTAACTGCCAAGTGCACAAGCTTCCTTATGCCAAACACTATATGTCTTTGTGGCTTTTACTGTCCCTGGGACCTGGTCAATGCAAATGATGGCCTTTTACCCTACTGGCAATCACAGGAGACTAACATTTCCTTCAGGAATGCCTCTATTTGAAATGTACATGCAGGATGTTGATAGTGGATTTTAGGGCCTTGATTATTTACCACTTGTACAAAGCATTT